TTGGTCCTGTGGGGCCACATTCCTGGGTTCAGTTCCTGGCGCTGCCACTTACTAGTTCAGTGATACTGATAAGTACGAAAAGTACAGTGAGACTCTGTTCCCTGTCTGTGAAATGGGAAGATAACACCCAGGAGCCTCTCAAGGCCATGCTTCTGGCACAGAGGGAGCCCAGGGGGTGCTGGCTGAAGCCATCCGCACCAGCATTCCTTGCTTTGTTCATTCGGCAGACTTTTGCTGGGACTTGGCATGTGCATGCAGCCCAGCAGAATGGAGCTGAGCTCCGGGAATGGGCATGTGGGAGACCTGATAGGAGGAACCCCACACACCCTTAATCAGTTACGGGGCGGGCACAGGGACCACGAGGACGGATGCATCTGAGCAGACAGGACTCTTCCGAGGTTTATCCCGGGCACTGGGGACTTTGCAGGACCCAGAGAGGTAGGAGGGAGGCAGAGGCAGCTCTAGTCGCTCTTCTCAGCCCCATCCCTGTCCTGGGGACTCACTCAGTTTGAAGAAGCCCCTTTGCGGCGGAGCATCTGATGTTTATAAGACCTTATGTCGCAACACAGGCTCGAGCGCTTTTAGGGTACCTGTTGGTGGCTGTAGAGCTGCAGGTGGAGGTAGCGTCCCCTGGGCCTGCTGCTGTGGGCCTCTCTGCATCCATAGTGGCTGCAGGCCTGTGGGCTGGTCTTGCTTTTCGCTTGGTCACGTGGGCTGTGGTTAAGCATGACATGTATGGGCAACGATGTTGCCATCTTGGGTTTTAAGAAATAGGCGTGGATTGTGTTGGGATGAGATAAGGGGAATGCCTCTGACTTGCCCAGAGAGCTTTGTCCTGGTGATGCGGGCCCCACAGACACCATGGTACCACATGGCTGCCCCTGGAGCCAGGAGCAAAGCTCCCTTTGCACTTGGCCAGTAAGGCCATCGCTTTGTGAAAAAGATTGTGTGGGTGTGGGGAGATGGTTCGGGTGCTTGAGGATACTCCTGGGACACAGAGTAGTGTGACCAGAAGGGAGGGGCGGAGGGCTGGTTTCCAGGCCACTGTGCTAAGCCCTCTCACTCGGCCTTGTGAGGAGGTGAAGGCGTCCCCGTAGCTGCCTGCTGTCCGGGAGGCTGTCTCTGAGGCATGTGGCTACTGCCCTATGCTAGCAAGCCATGCACGGTAATCTTGATCTGATTCTGTCACACTTGGTAGGCTCTGAAGTTGGGGGCGCGGGGAATTTGTCACTGTTCAATAGCCTGCAGATGGTGCTGGCCTGGGACTTTTGGTCACAGACCCTCTTCTTCCAGGTTGGACCCAGAGTTGGGCGGAGGAGGGAGAAAAGGCAGCACAACAGGTCCCGAGGTGGACCTCGGTTCGGATGAGAACCCCAGGGGCCTCCAGCTGGTTGCCATCCAGCTTGCTGGGAGACACGCCCGGCAGCACCTGCGAAACCTCAGGCCTGGGGGTAGGCATCTGGCTCTAGCTGTCCTCTGTCCAAGATATACATCGGCTGTTGGGATCTAGGGCTCAGCTGGGTTCTCCTCTGTCCAGTTCTGCTGGACATGTGTGCTGGTCTGTCTTCCCTCCTGACTTCATTCATGTAGAGTGGGGCCAGATGGCGTTCGTTCAGTGTTGTGGGACAGTCTCCTGGATTCAACTCTAGAGCACTTTTGTCCCCCTAAAAGGAGACTCCACACTCATCAGATAATCTCCCCTCTCCCCCAGCCGCTGACAAGCACTGATTTGCTTTGTGTCTCTGGGTTTGTCAGTTCTGAGCTCTTAGTATCCTCGGATTCACATGTTCCATGCATGGCCTTCCGTGCCTGGCTTCTTTCATTTGGCATAAGGATTTTGTTTTCAGAGTTTGCCTGTGTTACAGCATGAGTCAGTGCTCCTTGCCTTTTTATAGCTGAGATTCCACTGCACCAGTTGACCACATTCTGTTGTTACATGTGTCTGTTACAGGACTTTTCAAAAGATACTTTGTATTCCTCATTGGGCTAGAACATGGGGTACCCTTGAGCAGGCCACCACCTTGGGCTCCAAAGAGTTAGGTGTGAGGTTGGAAACATGTAGCTGTTCCCTGGCACAGAGCTGCACTTGGTGAGGAACACAGTCAGGAACCAAGTGTCACAGAAGCAATTGGCATTTCAGGGCTGACAAAATAGGGAAGGGAGAAAAGTCACTCTTTGGACTGTTTTTTCTCCTGTAAAAAGCAAACTGGACTAGAATTTGGCACATGTAATATTTAAACTTGATAAAATTGAATTAAAAATCCAGCTCCTCATTTGACACTGTAACCATAGCTCTGGCAGCTCCTCCAAAATAAAGTGACAGCTGCTGTGTGCGCCAGCAGCTCACTTCTGAGTGTGTCCTAAAGACCCCAGGGCAGGTCCTGGAGAGGTTAGTGCCCCACACGGGCAGTAGTTCTGCGTGTCTGTGACAGATGAACGGATCAGTGTGACAGAGCGTGTGCATGCCAGGCCTGGGGCTCAGCCTTACAAAAGGAATTTCAAAACACTTGCCACAGCAAGGGTGAACCTGGAGGACGTGATGTTCTGGTTCCACACGGCAGATGCCCTGGGATTCACTTGATTCTCCATCCCTGGAGTCATCCAGTTCAGAGGGGTAGCTAGTAGGGTGGGGTTCCCCAGGCTGGGAAGGAACTGGGGTGTTAGCAAATGGGGATGGTGTTGCGTTATTTCAGACGAAGCATTCTCAAGGCGGGTTGCACAATGCTGAGTGTTCTCCACACAACTGAACCACAGGGAAAGATGGTCAGGGTGGTCCCTTATCTCGATTCTAAAGGGCACAGGTGGGCCAGGTCCTGTGCACCAGCCCCGGTGAGGGAGGAGGTAAGTCCTACTACCATCTCTGCCCACCGGCTCCAGCACCCGGGGACCTGGGAAAAGACCACTGGTGGCTTCCCATAGAGACCAAGGATTCAGGTCACAGGTCCGTGGGTGGGGGTCCCTGTTTCCTTGATGAGCTCCTGAAGGTGGGCCCCTGCACTCACCACCAGGCCAGGGAAGAGGAAGAAACAGGGCTCTGGAGGCGATACCTCCTCCAGGAGCAGCGAGTGGCAGCAGAAACTTTCCCATGTGACCAAGAAGGAAAGGACTCCCCTGTTTTTTTATTATTATTTCTCAAGCAGAGGCCTCGGTGGGCAGGAAGTTTGCTTTGGTTTGAGTTTCTGCATGGAGCGTTGGAGCCTGAGGTCCCTTCCTGCCCTGGGCCGTGGTGGTGAGACAGAGCCTTCTCCACCCGGGAAAGGGGAAGATGCAGAGGGAGGGGTGCTGGGGCTGGAGGTGCTGGCCCGGCCCGTGAAAAATGGCTCCTAGACACAGACAGATGGAAGCGATTTTCAGTCACGTGGAGGAGAGCTAAACTACTGCCCCGAGAAGCAGGCCCCATGTTTTCTCTGCAGGAAGCGCCCCAAGCCGCAGGTTCTGGGGCAGATGCAGCAATGTCTTTGTTTATTTGAAGCACAGGGAGCCCAGAGGGTATGGCTGAGCCGCTCTGAAGTCTTGCGGGACCTGCCTAGACCGGGGATAGGAAGGCTGCCTTTTGTCACCATGCTGTGTAGGAATGGAGATTTGTGTACACCCTTGGCAACTCTTGGCACTGTTAGATACCTGCTGTCGGCTTGCCGTTCCCCCAAGTCCCTGAAGTAAGAAATTATGGTGCCCTGGAGAGGCTGTGAGGGAGGGGAACAGTTGATGGAGAGCCCGTTGGATGAGGAATACCTACCCATGTCCTGCGTTTCCCCCTGTGCGGCTTGGGGAGGGCTCGGAGGGGAGCTGCTGGCCTGCCAGCCTCAGCTCCTGCTGGGGACTCCAGTAAATAGAACAAAGAGCCACAGAAATGCCCGAGGTACTCGGAGATGTGGGGGCTGAGCCCGAGACAGGCATTTCCCCAGGAAGAGGGGAGTGCTAGGCCTGCCAGCCTGGAAGCCCAACCTCTTGCTGCTTTGCAGGTGGGGTCAGGGTGTTTGGAGCCCAGAGCTAGGTGCTGGCTCCCTTCGAAGGCAGCTACTGGCCCTGGTGGTGGGGTTGTGCTCATCATCTGGGGGTCTGCCCACCTCTGCTCACTGTCCCAGGGAAAGCAGATGTATCCTAGTGCCCCTGCTGTCCTGGGGAAGCAGCCACCACCTCCCTCCCCAGGACTGGCCCAACGGGTAAGGAGGCTGCGTCAGACTGAGGTAGTGTCTTCCTTTAAGCCCAGAGTGTACCTGGAAGCAGGGGGGTGAGAAGAGGTCACATGGGCTGGAGGAGGGGGGAGCCAGCAGCTAGGGCAGCTCAGGCAGGACGTGGAAGGTGTCTCCTCCATACCCGGGATGTTTCAGGCGATGCACAGCGCTGTGCAGTGTGCACAGCGCCCAGCCCCTGGTGGGCACCCTGTGGCTGTCCAGACCCTGCCCGGCCTCACAGCTGGGTGCGTGGAGCCTCCTGCAGCTGCATGGAAGCTCATGTTATTTCAAGTTCAGCCTTGTTCCCTGGCTGAAGACCCTTGTGGGCATTGCCTGTAGGAGGGACATGTGGGCTGGATGTTGCCTGGATGGTCGCAAGGCCCTAGCCTGCCCTGTGCCAGGGCCGTGCCTAGAAGTGGACACCTCCATGAGTGCAGGACAGATGGAGCAGCCTGGCCTCTCCTCCAGAAGGCAGAGCCTGTCCCTCCTGCTGGACCAGGAGGGACCCTGAGGCTCTCAGGCATAGCAGTGGCTGCGGCTTCTCTGAGTCTGGGGGTTGAGAGGGGATACAGAGGCCCAGGGGAGATGAGACAGAGTGCTTACCCTGGGGAGAGGGACAGGCACTGAAAGCCAGCTTGGTTCTTGGAGCTAGAGCAGAGTAGCTTCAGGACAGTGGACTCTTGGAAGTTGTCATGGTGAGTGGCTTCCATCAGGGGCCTTCTGCAGGGGTCTTGTGGCAAATTGCTAACCTGTGCCTCAGTTTCCCTGAGAATGGACCTGATGGTTGGACCCTATCTAAACTTGACACCTTCTCTTCCTCCCCAGCCACCGAGGCAGCTCCTGGCTGTGTTGGTGACATGGCTGACACTCCCAGAGACGCCATGCTCAAGCCGGCGCCGGCTTCTCGGAATGAGAAGCCCCCTGCAGACTTCGGCTATGTGGGGATCGACTCCATCCTGGAGCAGATGCGCAGGAAGGCCATGAAGCAGGGCTTTGAGTTCAACATCATGGTGGTTGGTGAGTCCCCCGCACCCACTCCAAGCCAGACCCATGTCAGTCCAGCTATTGTAGGGACAGTCCAGTGATTGTAGGGACCAATCACAAAAGCTCCTGGCCTGAGTTTTCCCTTCTGTCCTGTGGGTGATGGCCTGTGCCTGAAAGACAATTGCAAGCGATGAGTTAAGGGGTCGGAGGACCTACAGCTCCCGTCGAGTCCCCCGAGAGCAGCTCCTTGCTTTAAGATTCTCACAGTACCTGTGACGGGACCCCCATTCCTCAGGAGGGAACCCACTGCTGGTGTCAGACTCCCAGAACAGGCTGGAGGCTGGAGAGAGTTGGGGGAGGCACCAGGCAGCCACCAAGGTGGCCGTGCCTCCTGCCCTCAAGATGTGTGGGAGGGCATGGGCTCCTCTGGTCCTGTCTGTGATGTAGGTCTCCTTCAGAACTGTGGCTGAGAGCAGAGGGAAGGAGGCTGCACCACTGTGGCCCAGCCTTGATCCCCAGGAGGGTGCCCGGGGCCCACCTTTCCTGCTGGGCCTTGTTCGCCCTCAGCCCTAAGAACACCAGTGCCCAGCTGTCACCCACGGGCTCACTCCTGGGATGTTTCGGGAAGAATAAAGTGATCGAGTCAATAAAACCGAAACCCTTGTCAGGGTGGGTGCTGCCTATGAGGCTGAGGTGTCTGCTCCAGCTCCCACCCAGCTGCTGCAGTGCCCCATTCACAAGATGAGCAGAAGGGAGGCGGCCTGTGGGGCCCACAGACCTGGGGAGATACCCTGCTTTCTCCCAGTGAGGCTCATCTGCCTTTCTGCCTCTGGCCTCAGTTTCCTCACCTGGGAAAAGGTGTAATCCCAAACCCAGGGGTCCAGGAGAGTCCGAATCACGGGGGCAGTGTAGCCCCTGACGCGCAGTGGACATTCGGGACATGGGGATGGCAGTGGCCTTGGTGACGGCCGTGCTGGGAGTAATAACTCGATGCAGTTAAAATTTCCAGGTGGCATCTCCAGAATCTAAGGCACCTGGGGGCCAGGGCAGCAATAGCTCAGGCCAGGACACAGCCAGGTGGGCAGAGGGGAGGTGACGAGGACTGTGTGTTCTGGGGCCACCCGGGCTTCCACCCTCCTGGGAGCCCCCGGCTGTCCTTGAAAGGTGCCATCAAGGTCAGAAGTCAGGTGATATGTGGCTGTTAACACAGCTGGAGGGGTTCTGAGCAGTGACAGCTGAGTCTGGAGTCTGTGTGTGTGTGTCTGTCTGTGTGTGTGTGTGTGCGCACAAGCATGGGTGTTGTGTTGCGAGTGTGCACACTGAGTCTAATCTTTATTCTGTCTTGGTAAAGGGGCTTGTGACTGTGTGAGCCACTGGATGCTTACAGCAGCCCTAGCACAGGAAACACAGGCACAGTCATCCCATTGTACAGATAGATGGAGAAACCAAGGTGCCCCAAGTCACAGCTGCCAGGAGGCCTCCTTTCCAGGGGTCTGGACGGTCACCACTCAGGAAGGACCCCTGGCTGAGTGGGCTGGGCACCAGAGCCTGGTGCTGTTGGACACCTGCTACCTATTGTGTGGCTGTGACCAGTCCCCTCCCAAGAGCTGACTGACCTCCCTCCTGTGTCCCCCAGGGCAGAGTGGCTTGGGGAAGTCCACTTTAATCAACACCCTCTTCAAGTCCAAAATCAGCCGGAAGTCAGTGCAGCCCACCTCAGAAGAGCGAATCCCCAAGACCATCGAGATCAAGTCCATCACCCATGGTCAGTGCCCTGTGGTCAGGGGAGGGGATGGATAGGGGCAACCCCCTTTCTTTCAGAGAGGGGGGTTAAGGTGACCCAGGTCCCCTGAGGGGGACTTGCTAAGACTCCCTGGGAATGTGGAGTCTGAGTAGGACTGGCCTGTAAGTCGTCGGGCCCTGGGAGACACGAGGACCTGACAGCTGCGCTACCACCAAAATTCATGAGCCAGGGATGAGGGCCTGCTGGGCTTTATTGGCAGAGGCTGCTGTCTTCCTGGTGCCAGCTCTGGGGTCCTGCGCACCCTCTGACTCGGGACTCTGTGGTTCCTGCAGATATCGAGGAAAAAGGTGTCCGGATGAAGCTGACAGTGATTGACACACCAGGGTTTGGGGACCACATCAACAACGAGAACTGGTGAGGGGGCCAAGGAGGGCTCTGCAACGGGAGCACCCATAGGGCACCCAGGCCCCACACCCCAGCATTGAGGAGCTTGTCCTGAGAATTGTGGACGGAGCTGGGGCTGCCCTGGGACTCTCACTCTTCCCCACCCCCTGAGTCACAGGTCAGCAGGGGGCCGGGCCAGGCACTCTCAGATGAGGCTGTGCTGTCTGCCCAGAGCCAAACCTCCCACCTTGTGATCGCAAGGTTGACTGGAGAGCAGGTGTCTGGCCGGGGAAGCTGTAGGCCCCTCCCCACCAGGGACATGCCCCACTCGACTCTGACCTGGCTTCCCACGCAGCTGGCAGCCCATCATGAAGTTCATCAATGACCAGTATGAGAAGTACCTGCAGGAGGAGGTGAACATCAACCGCAAGAAGCGCATCCCTGACACACGCGTCCACTGCTGCCTCTACTTCATCCCCGCCACCGGCCACTCGTAAGTGCCAGGCACGCCTAGCCTGCTGCCCCGGGGCAGCCTGACTTTGCTGCGGCCGTCCGCCGTGCTGCGGGGCGCAGGGTGGGGGAGAGTCAGGGATGAAATGAAATGGGTTGCACGTCACTGGGAGCCCAGTGCTCGGGAGGACGTCCCAGGCCTGCGGGCACAAGACCCAGAGCAGGAAAGCAGGCCTCAAACTGGGCCTGCAGGAAACCCACGCCCGCCTCTCGTGTCACCTGTGGGCCAGCAAGAGGTCCAAGGCTGGACCCTGCTTGCCACGCAGGCATGAGAGAAGGCTGTGCTCCCGGGCATCGTGCGGGAGGCCGAGCTAAGCTCCTCCTCTCCCTGCCCCCAGCAGAGCAGCCCTCTCTGGACTCGTGCTCTGGGCCAGTTGGGAACTTCCTGGGTATGGGGGCTTAGAGTTGGCCCTGTTCCTCCCTGCCACCCTCCACTTACCACCTGGCTGGCTTGATTTGCCCTTGCCCCAAGCTGGCACCCAGAGCCCCATTGCCACCCCTGGAGGCACCCCTCTTCCCCCCAATCCCATTAACCCAAAACCCAATCTCATTCACCTCTGTCCATTCCAGCCTTAGGCCCCTGGACATCGAGTTCATGAAGCGCCTGAGCAAAGTGGTCAACATTGTCCCTGTCATTGCCAAGGCTGACACACTGACACTGGAGGAGAGGGTCTACTTCAAACAGCGGGTACGTTGCCTTTGCTCCTGGCTCTCAGGGCTGCTTGGAGAAGCTGCAGGCCTGGGAGAGGCCACGCAGTGCAGGGGCGCGTGACCAGGGCCATGATGCACTTGCAGTCTGCAAGCACGTGGCTGCCTTTGGGGGAGTCCTGGCCTGGGTGATTGTGAGGGCCTTCCCGGGATGCCCCATCCAGCTCCCCAGCTCTCAAAAGCAGCTCCACATGCGCACCAGGAAAGCATGAGTGGGGCTTGAAAAAGACCCAGATTCAGGAACAACCATGCCCCTTCCTGGGAGCAGGGTTGATGTGCACCCATCAAACAGTATATGCCTGGTTTTTATTTGATAGAAAAGAAAGGCCCAGCAGATACAGTCTGTGCTGGGGATGGACAAGTGGCTATTAGTTCTCTGCCACAGTCTGGGGCCACTGCCAGCCAGGTAGACAGGCGCCCTGCAGGTGCTGAGCCTGAGATCACCTCTTCTCAACAGAGCTGCACCGCGGTCTCATCCCACAAGTCCTGAGGGCTTACATCCTAGGTGGTGTGGGAGATTTTCCCAGTATGCTTCGGGAACAGTGGCCTACTGCTCAGGGATGCATGCTGAAGGGAAGGGGACAGGTAGCCCTGTGGGCTTGGGTCTTCCTGGGGCAGCCCTGATGATTGTTCCTTGAGATATCCTCTGTTGAGTGTCACCTGGCTTGTGCTGCTGTCGGAGAGGGGCTGGCTTAATGCAGACAGGTACACCCTGGACTGAGGAGGGGCCCACATTGGGCTTAGGGGGGCTCTCACAGGAGGGTTTCAGGAGGTAAGGACTTCACAACCCTGGGTTATTTTCGTGCCATGTGAGAGAAGCCGGCCAGGAAAGGTGGAGAGACAGTAGACTCCGCCTTGGGGAGCCTCATCCGGTGAAGGCAGGCAGATCTGCAGCTGGTCTTCTCCATTCGGGAACATGAGAATTGCAGATCTTGGGGTGACAGTCCCCCAGGGCCCAGGGCAGCTCCCTCAGGAGATCACGGCACAGGCACAGGTGGTACCTGCATCTCCCCAGATCACTGCGGATCTGCTGTCCAACGGCATCGACGTGTACCCCCAGAAGGAGTTTGATGAGGACGCAGAGGACCGGCAGGTGAACGAGAAGTTCCGGGTGAGTACGTCAGCCTGAGGCTGTGGCAGGGCGCCCTGTGCCTGCGGTGGGCGTATAGGGCGGGTTGCGCCTGCCCCATCCTGGGCAAAATCTTGGGGTGGCACTGGCCTTTCCAAGCACACCTCACCAGCCCTGCCTGCTCCCTTCCCAGGAGATGATCCCCTTTGCTGTGGTGGGCAGCGACCACGAGTACCAGGTCAACGGCAAACGAATCCTTGGCAGAAAGACCAAGTGGGGCACCATCGAAGGTACTTGCCATGCTGGCTGCTGGGGTCAGGGACAGGGAAGTACATGGGCCGCTGGCCCTGGAGTGTGTCTGTGTCTTGGAAGGGCACCTGTCCTTGGCTGTGGGGCCTCACAAAACATATCTTCGGATACTTTCCACATAAGGTCGCTGTCACAGGCCTGGGGGCTGGGATGCGGGCATGTCTCTCCTTGGCATGGGTCAGCATTTTGGGTGGACGGGTCACGTGTTTCTTTGCTTGCTACTTCTTCCCTACTTGAGAGCAAATGTGAAAGCAAAGCACAGAGTGGATTGGAAAAGCCGCTGTGTTCCTTGAGAGCAGCGTGGCTGCAAGTTCCCATAGAGAAGAATCAGCTATGCCGGTGTGGGCAGATCCCCAGTCCTCTGGGGCCTCAGTTTCCACCTCCGTAAAATGGTACTGTGGCCAACATTTCAGCAAACTGACAGAGTGTCCCAGAGACCACAAGGAGAGCAGTCGCCCATGAAACTGATCTCCAGGGCAGGGGATGTTCACGGTGCGGTGCTCTGCACCTCTACAGGATGCTGTTTAACCCTCCTGGAGGGCAGGAGGTGTGGTGAGGGCCCCAGGAAGGGAGCCAGCTCTGAGTCTGCAGGCTTAGCCCTGCTGTGCACCCCAGGGTTCTCATACCTGCCTTTCTTACTGTTGGCTCTGTCAGGGCATTTTTCTACAATAGCCCATCTGGGAGTTCTCTGGGGTCTGCAGTGCTCCCTCTGCAGGAGAGCTGTCTGATGTAGGCAGCCCCAGTCCCCTAGGCTTTGAGACCAGAAAGGCCTGTTAGGGAGCAGGGCCCTAGGGCACATCTCTACTGCCTCTTGGTGGCCAAGTCCCAACATTGCAGGTGGTTTGGAGAGAAACCGTCAGGAAATTGAATGAGGCCAGACTGGGGCTCCCAGGTAGGGAGGCCTGTGACAGGGCAGAAGCCGGTGAGGGCCTTGTGAGCCGATAACTGCCGCTTCCTCACCCTGGCTCTCACGGCCCTAGACAGTTTTGCCTTGTCCTCTGTCCCCTGCTCTGGGAGCTGCCTGGAGGGCTGCAGGAGGAAAGGCAGGGTCCCATGATTCACCCCATTTGACCCCTATGTGTGTCCCTGGGAGGTGGGTGGCATCGTTACCTGTTTTATAGATAGAGAAATAGAGGGTCAGAGAGACCAGAGTCACATAGCAGCCCAGCCCCTGGCTCGAGGGTCCCTCCCTTTGCCAGCTCTCACTGCCTCTTGGGGAAGCTGCCATGTGGACCAGCCCTGCCAGGGTGCACGCAGCCCTGCCTCGCCCCTGCTTGGCTGAAGCCCTTTGCTTGGGACAGGCGCAGATGGGCTGCGGTGCTGGGTCTGGGTTTCAGAGGCCGCAGTAACCTCCCCAGGGTGAGCCACTGAGCTCTAAGTTTGTGACTTCAGGAGTGGAGTTTTTGTCGCTGCCTGCAGGTGTGGGGAGCTGGCTGAGGGGACTTTGCCGGGGTCTGCCCTGCCTGCTCTGCCTGGCCGTCTGTGATGCCACTGCCCCCCCCCAAGTGCTCTGTCGTCTGTTGTGTCCTAGTTACACACCCTGGCAGTGTGCTCACGTGTGGGTCAGAATACCCACCCCCAATGACATTCTGAGAGTGCGGCCCACTGAGGCTCTGCCACATCCTTTGTGGTCCCCAGAGGTGCCCACTGTCCCCTGCTGGCTTCCACCTGTGTGGTCTCACATCCAGGTGACCCCAAGCCTGGTCTTTAGTTTTGCTGATTCTTGGATGTGATTTCAGTGGGGTGTGTGCGCGCGCGTGTGTGCATCCTGCCTGTGCGCTGGGCATGTGTGTATGAGCACGGATGAAACCCAGAGGGCCCAGGTCTTAAAATCTGCCCCAACTCTGTCATCCCTAACCTCCAGCCTGTCTTCACGTCTGTCCTGGGACATCCGGGAAGCCTTCTTGGTCCGGTCACCCCAGGAGAGCAGGCCCACCCCTCCTTACTGTGACTCTTTTGCCTTGCCAAAGTTTTGGCCTGATTACTGGGCCATATCCCCACTGGTCCAGAACCTTCCAGAGAGCAGGAGCTTAGTTCTTCCATCCCAGAGTCCCCAGTACTGAGAGCCTCCAAGGTACCCAGGACTCACTTATGGAGCAGGGGACTCCCCATACCCTGTCTGCCTCTCCAGATATTACTGGGTGGGTGGGCACTTTCCTTGTGTGACACTAAAGCCCTCTGTCCCTTTCCTCAGTCGAGAACACCACACACTGTGAGTTTGCCTACCTGCGGGACCTCCTGATCAGGTGAGCCTAGCGCTGCTGTGGTGTGGGGGGTGAGGGTGGGTGCAGATGGGGCAGGGGCAGAGGTCTTGGGGACAGCTGCCACCTGCCCACCCAGCTGCCCTGCCTGCAGAACCCTGTTTGCTAAGAAATGCTCTGGGAAATGAATGCAGCAAGGAGAGAACATCTTTTGAATCCCTGTGAAGTCCCAGGGACGGGAAAGGCTGTGTCCTGATTCCCTGTGACCTGAGCCCAGATTGCACTGTGACTGCGGAGGCCCATGAGATGTCATGGCTGGCCTCCGAGTGGAGGCCTGGCAGGTCCTTGGCTCTGTACCAGCAGCCTCTGATCCCTGCCCTTTGTCTTGGCTGAGGCTGAGGCTTCTCTATGATCTCCATGAGCCCAGCAGCCAGCTCCATGTAAGAGCAGCCCTAGGTGAGGCAGGTGAAGAGGTGGGGGCCTCTTGCTGGGGTCCTGGGCTCCTGTCTTCCTCCTCCAGAAGTGGCTGGTTATGGGGACTAATCAGGTGGGCAAGGCCATGTGAGGACCAGGGTGAGGGGCAGAAGTAACATCACCATCTCTGGGAGCCCCACCCTTCCAGCCCCCTTTCCAGACTGGACCCCTGAGCAGCAGAAAGGCTGGGGCTGGGGTGTGGCCCAGAGGTGGAGCATTTTCCCAGCATGCCTGAGACCCTGGCTCCATGGCCAACACTGCTGCACAGAACCAAAATAATGAGCCCAGGATGGGTAGAGTGGACCCAGCCCTCTGCTTCAGGCCACAGCTCCAGGGTCAGTGATCACCCACTGCCTCTGCTGGCTGGCTCCCTGGCCACCAGCCTGGTGGTGCTCCTGTTTTGCGGCAAGGATGTTCTGGTCCTGCTCACTGCAGGGGCCTCTGGACCTCTCCCGTCCAGCCGCTGTCCCCCAGCACCCAGCCCTCTGTTGCTGGGCAGGCACCAGACTAGCCATCCTTTAGACAGGGCAAGGGACACACCAGGACATGTGTCCACAGAGGGTTACGGAGAGATGGACCTCCAGACCTGTGCCAGGCGTGGTGGCCATCGTGGTGATGGGGGGGCGGGGGAGGGGATGTGGCGGTTAGGACTAGGGCCCACAGGGCCAGCTGAGCTGCTGTCCCCACAGGACTCACATGCAGAACATCAAGGACATCACCAGCAGCATCCACTTTGAGGCATACCGCGTGAAGCGACTCAACGAGGGCAACAGCGCCATGGCCAACGGGGTGGAGGAGAAAGAGCCTGATGCCCAGGAGATGTAGACCCTGCCCCGCCCTGGACCCAAGCCTGTCTTCCCGTCCCCCAGGCCCGCCCGCCCCATCTTATTTTATATCGTTTTCTCCATCGTCGTCGTCGTCTCCATCCCTTTTCTGTGCTGCCAGGTGACAAGAGAAGGCGGAGCCTCCTGCGTGTTAATCAGTAGCTCCTGGCTGCCCCTGAGGACTGGAAAGGCTGGGTGCACCCAGCAAGAGGACCTGGGACCCTGGAGTCTGACCCGCCCCCAGCCAGGCTCCCCCCACAGGGCCCTGCAGAGCTGCCCTGTCTACCACGCTCGGTGGAGTTCCTAGCTCTGGGGCCTCATCAGGGACCAGGTCCCCTGGGTTCACCTCACCCCTCTGTCCCCTTGGCCACAGCTCCTGGAGTGGGAGGATGGAGCCCCTCCTGCTCCCCACCCCCTGGTGTGGAGCCCCCCACTCCCACCCCGCTCCCCTGGGACAGAGAGAATTCCACAGCCCACGTTGCCAATCGCTTAGACACGGCGAGGCCCACTCTGGAGCAGAAAGTGCCTTCATTCAGCCGTCCACATGAGCCAGAGGACTCTCCTAGTTGTCCCCTTGGGCCAGAAATGGGGACAAAATGGAGAGGGGGAGGTGTGACCTACCCCTCTAACCCTCCTCTTACCCTCACACCCATGTTGGAGGGGCTTTGGGTGCTTCTGGTGCCACAAAATCTGATGAGGACAGAAGAGCACCCCACCCCAACCCACCCCACTCCACCCCACCCAACCCCGAGTCTGGGAAAGGTCCGAGCAGGTGAAGCCAGGGAGGAAGTTTTGGAAGGTGCTGGAGGAAATCGCCCCGCTCCGCCTGCCCTGATGTCTTGGAGATCTGTCTGTCTGTCTGTCTGGACTTTGGTTGGCCGCAGTGCTCTGGTTCTCTCATGGCCCAGCCACCCCAGCTCCCAGACTCCGTGCTCCTGGCTTGGGGCTGGCAGGAGGCCAGGGGAATCCATTGTCCTCTTGAGTGCTAGGGCCCCTGCACCCCAGAACCTCTTGTGCAGACCCCTAGTGAGGAAGAGATGAGCGAGTTGGAGGTGCACAGAACACCTGCCTTCTGGCAGAAGAGCAAAGCCTCACCCTGTGTCCCCAGGAGGAGACTGAGGGACTGACCCCCACACCGTGCATACCTGCCTCCCAGTCCTGGGCGGTGGGAGCGGGTAGTGGGGTTGCACACAGGGGTTACCACCTTGAGGTATTATCTGGCTGCAGACCCCAAGGAGCATCATGCAGCTGAGGCAGGCAGCGGGCGGGACAGGCTGTGGACAGGCGTGGGTGTGCAGCAGTGGTGAATGTGTGTGTGAGCGGGTGACTGCATTGCCGTCTTCCTCCCCGAGGGGTGTAGACCCTTACCGAAGCCCTCCGCCTGACCGAAGTTTACTTGCCAACTGCCCACTTGCCGAGTTTTTGCCAAAACCAAGACTCTGAAGGAAGGAGGTGTCTGGTGGCAGGGCCCGGGACGCGGGGGTGCCCTCCTCTGGCCCTGGTGGCCCTGGTGGCACTGGGCAGTATGTGTGTGTGGTTACAGCAGCGTCCCCAGGGATGGCTTCGCTTTCCTTCTCTGTAACCAGATTTTGAAAACGTTTCACTGGGCTCTGTTCCACAATGGCCTTTTGCTCTGTGCCTCCTGAGAAATTCGTCTCTTTTTGTATAAATAACAAAGTGTTGAAATGTATTTCCTGAAATAAATGTTTCAAATGCAAACCAGAGGTTCCTGCCCCTGGAATGTGGGTTTCCTCGCAGCCTCCGGACTGGCCCCATAATCGCAGAGAGAGAGGGGCAGGGTAGGGGAGGTCAGGCCAGGCTGGAACCTGAACTTGGCCTCCCGGGATTAAGACAAATCGAAAGCCGGCCATAGTGAGAGGCTGAGGCAGGAGGATCCTGAGTTCCAGCCCTGCCTGGGCAGTCCTTGTTTCAAAATAAAAAACGGTTGAAGATGTAGCTATCTGTATCTGCAGTACTAGGGATTGAACCAGGGCCTTTGCACTGAGCTGTGTCAGGCCCCCTCCCCCCTTTTAAAATGACAAAAGAGTCTCATTAAATCACCAAATTGCCCAGATGGGCTTAAACTTGGGATCCTCCCGCCTCAGCCTACAAAGTGCTGGTGTTCCAGGTGTGCATCATCACACCTGTCACTTAGGCCTCATACTTGTCCGGCCCCAGGGCTTCCTTACTAGGCCATCTGGTCCAGCCCAGGCTGTCCCCGAGGCAGACCTGCAGGACACAGAAGAGCAGGAAGACCCAGACAGGGCAGCCCTGCTTCACGCCGTGCTGGCCTGGAGACCTGCCTGGAAAGCAGAGTGTCCTGCTGGGACTGCTGGGCCAGGTCGCTGGCTCTTCCCCTGTGCTGGGCCATGGAGCTGGAATCCAGGAAACTGACAGGCAGCCACTGGGCTGTTCCCTCCACTGCTTTGATTTTTTTTTTTTTTTTTTTTTGTACCAGGGATGGAACTCACAGACTTGTGCTTGCCAAGTAGGCACTTACGCTGCTGAGCTAAATCCCCAGCCCTTCCGCTCTGCTTGAGGCCTAGAACCCTGCAGCTTGTCAGAGGGACCCACAGAGGTGGGGTGTTGCACCCTGCTACTCCTGGCCCCCTGGAAGGAGCCGGGTGGGCTCTGGCAGTGTACAAGGAGGGTCTTGTCTGGGGTCTCCCTCTGGATTTTGGAGATCTCTTTTCCTGTCCTGTCCTTTCTGCCTGCATGCCGAATGTGCAGTGCTGCGTGGGCAGTGCTGGGAAAATGACTTCTCAGAAAAGAGGAGACCTTGCCTCATGCCGGCATGGGCCTTTGAATCCTGCTAGATCTGGTGTTGGGGGCACACGGGGTCAGAAGCCAGCTCAGAGCCACTGCTGGGAGGTGGCAGCAGCATGCCGGGAAGGTAAAATCCAGGGCTGTAGGCGGAAGTGTGCCACTGAGGGGCTGGCTCCAAGGGGTCCTTTGCCTGGAGGACGCCCCAGCTGGCCTTGCCCCAGCAGGTACAGGTGGACGTCTCCTGCTGCAGCTCGAACCCCTGTGAGGCCACACAAATAGGTGTCTGTGGAAACCTGCTTCACTGGAGAGCTGAGCCCCCTCAGAGCACCCCCTGTGGAGTGAAGGAGGGAAGAGGCCCCTGCGGTGAGGAGGGGGGTCCTGTGCAGAGCTGAGGCGCATTTCCTGTGCTGGAGCAGAAATACTTTCCAGATGTTCACTGCTGCCCATAGCTAGCCAGGAGGGGCCCCAAGGAGCAGACCCAGGCCTGTAGGGGACGATGGCTCCACGCCAGCACACCAGGCAGTCCCGGATTACAGGGCTGGAGAGTCCCAGAAAGGCTGCGGCCAACCCTGTTGGTTCTTTTGTTTTGATTTTTGTTTGTTTGTTTCCTTTTCTTCTGGGAATCGAACTTGGGACCTTAACACTAAGCTGTATCCCTGGTCCCATGCCCTTTTTATGTTTTATTTTGGAAATAGGGTCTCACTAAATTGTTGAGACTGGACACTAGTTTATGGGATCTTTCTGCCTCAGCCTCCCAGAGTGCTGGGATTACAGTGCGTGCCAGCAGTCAGATCCCTCGATGCTGGACATGCCAGGCTGGGCTGCAGAGCCTCTAAATGCTCCCTGCCACCTCCCTGCTCTGCTCCCCCTTGGGGCTGAGGCCTTTGTGAACTGTGAGGAGGAAAATGCCCTGGTGTCTCCCTGATCATACAAACAGCGCCTGCCCACTGCACGGTGACTGGAAAATAGAAACAGGCACAGCAAATAGAGGTCCGCTGGTCAGCCTGTGTATGTGTGGGACTTAAATTTTTCTCATATTTTCTTTTCCCACGTTAAGCTCAGATTATGCACATCATTTGGTAACCCACACTAATACCCACAATAATACTACTGGGGGAAATTTTCCCATGCAATTTTTTTTTGAAAACAATTTTAACAGCTGAACAAAACATAATCTCCTTTACTACAATGGCGATTCCTAAGTTTTGCTTATGTCAGCCAGCTGCAATAGGATCCATTCGGTAACCCGCTGCACCCTCCCTGTCCGCCTTCCGGGCTGAGCGAGGGGGTGCCGGGTGTCCCGAATCTCCCAGGGGGCCGGCAGGGGGCGCGCTAGAGCAGGAGCCTGGCAGTGGTTCCCGCTTGCTCCTTCCGTTTTTGCCTCCCTTCCCTCCTTCGAGGCTCCGATCCCTCTCTCTGCCTGCAAGTGGTCAGGCCTCCTCGGGCTCTGCTCTACACACCCACCTGGAGTCTCACACACGCGAAGGGCCTGGAGTGCCGCGTGCCCAGACATGTTCGTTTCCGAGGCTCTGCTTTTTAAAAGGCTCATTGTGGTCACTCATCCCACACAGCAGCTGTTGTGCAGCTGGGCATCTCGACCTTGGGTCCACATCAAGGTCACTGTGGGATCACACACAGAGGAACCCCCTAGAGGTCAGGGTTGGGGTGCGCTGGGGAGGGAAGGGCTGAGGGCAGATGCCAAGGGCCTAGGTTATAGCTGAGTCCCTCCTGGGCCCAGGAGACACAGCAAAGCAGTTAGGATGTGGAGCGGGGTGCGGTTCCCCATGTCTGTTGCATGGTCTGGGCCTTGAGTTAACTGGGTCTCAGCAGACAGAGGGATGGCGGTCACTTAGGCATCACTGGACTTGGGGAACGAAGCAGGGAGGGACCCACAGCAGGGCTTCTCGGGGCAGCACGGGCTTCAGCTCTGCCCCAGGCTCTGGTCCTTGCAGACCTGCGGCTAAGCCCTGGGCTGTTTCAGCCTCTCTCTGCTGTGCTCCCCAGCACTTTCTGAGTCAGCCAGGCCAGGTGGACCCGGGGAAATGGGGTGCAGAAGCTCCCCAGCAGCCTGGCTGGCCAGCCCAAAGTGGTCTCATCCAGAGTCCAGCATCCTGTGGATCCCGCTGGACCTCGTGGAAGTTGCAGCTAAATGAACATTGGGAGCCCGATGGAGAAAGCCTCTTCCTCCCCACTTGGAGAAGACAGTTATAAATAATCCACAGGCACAGGAGCATAAATAATTAAAGCTGCCTGGAGTGAGTGGCTCTTGAACCGTCTGCCTGATTTAAAAACTAATTACTTGGAGAGTCCTTGCTGCTAGGGAGCCTCTGCCTCCTCCACCTCCTCCTCCCTCTCTCCTGCACTCCTCTGCCTGCTTCCTGGGTACCAGGGGCATTGGCACCAGGCTCATTGGCCAGCCCTGGCACGTAGAGAACTGCCGGGGCCTCTTCCATCTCCCTGATTAAGAGCCCTGAAGTCCCTAAGGGGCGCCACGATGGGCACTTCCAATTCGCCTTGCTCCTCGGGCTGCCTGCCTGGCTGGGAGCCCCTAGGACTTCCTGTCCTCAGGATGGAGCGGGCTGGCAGGATTTGGGGGCAGCAGAGACACAGGAAGTAGTTTGTTTCTTTTGCAGGGTTGGGGGTTGGCTGCCGGGCTGTGTGCATGCTGGGGAAGCCTGTTACCGAGCTACCCTAGCTCCTCCATTTGGTTATTTTTATAGTTTCTATTCATCTTGAAATTCCTCACTTCACACCTTTTCCTACTGTTCGCTTCACTGGATCTTTTTTCTTTTTTTTGAGCAAGGTCTTACACTAGTTCAGGCTGGCCTTGAACTCATGGCAATCCTCCTGCCTCAGCCTCCGGAGTGCTGGGATTATAGGTGTGAGCCACCATACCCAACTAGATCTCTTAACATTTTAATTTTATTCCATGTTGTCTGATATTCCATCTGTGAGTCTATTCAATAGAAGTAGCAATTGTTCTGATTACAGGTCACATTTTCTGGCTACTTTGAATGACCTGCAATTTCCCCTCCCACCCGAGGACTGGGCTTCTCCAGGGTACTCCATCCCTGAGCTACATCTTCGGCCCTTTTTATTTAGTCTCAACGAAGTTGCCCAGACTGGTTTTGAAATTGTATACTTCCTGCCTCAGCCTCCCAGATAACTGAGATTATGGGTGAGTGCTACCATGCCTGGCTTGTAGTTTTTAAAAATTTACCATAGTGTGTAAAATAAATGTATTTCCTGGAAAATGAACCCACTTTTTTCTTCACCAAGCCTTACACGAGGGGCTGAATTCTTGGGTCTTGGCTCCTGGGTGAGGTTTCTCGGATTCACTTTACTTGCTTGGTGTATTGTGGAGACAGGACTAGCTCTTTCCCTGAAGGAGGTGCCCAGGGATAGAAGAGAATGGTGTGAACATTTTGGGGGATGGTGGGTGGAACACAGCTGTGGAGCTGGCATCTCAGGGGCACAACCCAGGGAAGCACAGAAGCAAATACTTCTGAACAGTATGGCACCAGGGTAAAGACGGGAACTTGCTGTAGGGCAGCACTTGTGCTCCTGGCTTTAGATGTTCCCATGGGAGAGAGTCCCATTCCCTGCTGGAACCTGACGATCTCAGAAAAAATAATCAGAACCAGAGGGTGGTGCATACCAGTAATGCCAACCTTAAAGGAGGCCGAGGCAGGAGGATTGCAAGTTCTAGACCAGCCTAAGCAATGTGGTAAACCCCTACCGTAAAATAAATGAAAAAGGACAGGAGATGTAGCTCATTGTGAAGGCCCTGGGTTCAGTCTCCAGGGCTGAGGGTGAGGGGGTGAGGAGGGGGGTGCAGAAATCTCAGGACTCCAGTTACCCACAGGCTGCAGCTGCTCCCATAAATCCCCCACATGCCAACATCCCACCCTACTTCCGAGCCCTGGGGGGATTCATGCCCAGAAACAGCCACC